ACTAGTGCAAAACGGGAATGAATGTTCCTGCATTTGCGAGAAGATTCATTCCCATTTTGCACAAATGAACTGCGCCATACACAGAGAGAGAGAGCCGGCGCCTTGCGGGGAGTTTCGTGTCAAAATCGCCGGCTCTCTCTCTCTCTCTCTCTCTCTCTCTCTCTCTCTCTCTCTCTCTCTCTCTCTCTCTCTCTCTCTCTCCCTCCCCCCCCCCCCCTTTCCCCCCCCCCCCGGTTCGTTTGCTTTTCCCACCGCATTCGTTTTCCCGTTCATTTTGTTATAGTTTCTTGAAATCTTTTTTTGTTTTTGTTAATTCAGGCGGCTACCGGTCGTTCCTCCCCCGACCCCCATCCAATGCGGCCGATAACGCGCCGCAACCCAAAAAAAATGGCTGGCTGAGGTGCTGGTGGTTTAATGAGAGCAACCCAGAAATCGAGTGTTGCAGTTGTCGCCAATACCCTGTTGGGTGTCGGTGCTGCAAATCCGGCCAGTGTGCAAGATGTGCAAGAGCTTGGGGTCCATGGCGTGGTACTTGAAAAGGAGGAAGTGAGTGTACTCGCTCAGACAGACCATGCTGCACTTCGGCAGAATGTATGCTGCGCCCGCTCAGACTGCCCATCTGTCAGTGGGTGCCAAGCCGAGTTTTGCTTCATTCCAAATCCAAAATGCTTAATGAGAGCAATCCCGAAATTGGACATAAACCGAAAGTTGCAGTTGTTGCCAAAATCCTGTGAGACGCCACGGCTACAAGTGCAGCAAGTGCAGCCAGTGTGCATAATGCACAAGAGCTCAGGGGCCGTGGCGTAGTACTAGAAAAGGAGGAAGCGAGTGTACTCGCTCAGACAGACAGACAGACAGACGGATGAACGGATGGATGGAGGGCCAGCTGGCCGGACAGGCAGGCGGGGCAGTGGGCAGGCAGGTGGGTGGGCTGGCGAACCGAAGCACCGACAGACGAACAGAGTGGCTGGGCTGGAGGACCGACGAACCGACAGACGGGCTGACAGACGTATGCAGTGATGTTTTTTTTTCCTTCGTATGTGTTGTTGGATAGTTCCACGGATATGCTCCAGGGTGGATGCTGGTGGATGTAGTTTGTCATCTTTTTCTTTGCTTTTTATTGCTGTTTGTGGATGCCAATCTTACGCTCGACTGTAATCTGGTCTCATGCTGATTCATCGTTTCTCTTTGAGACCCAGTCAAGGGGGGGAGGAAAGTAAACAGGGGTTTGCAGGTATATGTGGATAGTATATGTAGGGTTGTGGAGTAGATTTGCAACCAACATGAGTAGACATTATCGAAAGAGCAAAAGCCAAGGTGTGGCCGTACAAAAGGCTCCCAGCTGCAAACAGAGTAATTGAACTCGCTCTGCAAAGGAGACAATGAAGTCAACAGCGCTCCGACGTCTTGCTGTATCTTCCGGGCATGCTGTTGTGATGATGTGAAAGCCTATCCGTTCTTGTGCACTTTTTATTTCTTTTTTGGGCACTTATGCGTGGTGTTATGGGAGTGCGAGGGACTCAAAATTTACCATTTGAGTTGGCTGCCGTGCCTTATTGTGGTAGAGGTTCATTTACTTAAGGGTGGGCCTGTTTGGCTGGTTTGCATTAATGGGATTGTGTTCGGGGCGGTGTTATGTCACATGACCTGTCGAGTGCACATTTTTAATGTTTCTTGTGATACATAATCATTCAGCCAGAGGTTTTGGGTTATGTTTAAGGCGAGAAGAGGTTTTCTGGCGAGCTAGGGGAAAATTTGTGTGCTTGGTTGTCCTTGGCGAACTGAGGCCACGGCTCTTTGCTGGTGTTAGCTGTTGGGCTTGGAAGAAGCAACCTCCGTAAAAAATTGTGGAATTTGGATGCCTGGCAAAACGAGTTCAAAGGTTGTTTGGTAAAGCCCCTGGACTCTCTCGTGCTGTCCTTGTTTGGTATAAGGAAAACAGCAATGTTAAGACGCATCTCTGCTTGCAGCATGGGGAGGGAGAGGGTATAGTTCACTCGACCATCTCTGTTTCAGCCTGCCAGTCTGTGTCTTTCTGACGTCTATCTGTGGCGTCTCCCTCATTCAGTGTGTTTTCCTCTCTGCATGTCTTCTGCCTGGCTATCAATGCCTCAGTTTTGGTAGTCTTGCATCCAGTCGGTCAGTCTGTCTATTAGTCAGCAGCAGCACGTTAACCTTACATCTCTTTCTGTAATTCTGCCTGCCTATGTCTGTCGTCTGCCTGTCAGTCTGCCTGGCTGTTTTCTTGCATGTTTGTTTGTGCGCCAGCCTATCAGGTTCAGTCTCTCAGTCCGCCAGTCCATGTATCCATCTTTTCTTCCGTCTATGACTTTTTGTCTCTGCTATCGATCGCTATCTTTTCGTTTGCCAGGCTGCTCGTCTGCTTCTCTGTCTTCTGATGTTCAGTGTACAATCTGTTTGTCTCTTTGCCACTCTGCCAATGAGTCCGTGCGTCAGTCAGTCAGCCAGTCATTCCGCATGCATGTCAGTTTGTTATGTCTCTGTTAGCCTGGCAGTCTGTCAGTCAATCTGGCCGGCTGTCGGTTTGTTGTGTGTTCATCCGTATGGTCGACTAACCACCTTGCTGCCTGCCTGCCTGCCCGGCCGCCTGCCTATTTCTCTGTTTGCATGCCCTGCATCATCCTCTCTCTCCATTTGTTAGTCTTGATCCGTTCGTCTGTTTGTCTGGCTCTGTGTTTGTTCGTCTGTGTTGATTTTTGTGTCTGTTTGGGGTGGGTGGTTGCCCGTGGTTCGCTCTATTTGTCAACAGTAAGGGACAAAGGCTAGACAGGGCCGTCGTAATAACCGAAAGAAAAGAGCTTGTGCAATTTACTCTGCCGCTCCGGTTGGAACAAAGTACGGATGGAGTGGTGACACCGCTGCCGTGGATGTAGATCATCTGTGATCGCCGTAGATATTGGCCTTCGAGCCAAAACATTGTGCTGGAAAGACCTGCAGTCCATAGCAGAATTCCAATTCCATTCACCTTCCATCCTCTCTCATCCCCCTCCCTTCGTCCCTCCGTCATCAACCGTCCTCCTCCCTCCCTCTTTCTCCGCCCACCCCTCGTTTCGCGTCTCGTCTCAATGCGGCCCCACCTCCCCACTCTTCCTTTTTTTTTTTTTTTTTTTGTACGTAAGTCAATCCGTCAATCAAACATCAAACAATCATTACAGCTCACCTTCGCTTCCCCATCGTCGTCCTCCTCCCAGAAACGGCCAGAAGTGAAACACCATAGAATAGCAATGCACGGAGTATGGGCACACTTCATTCATTCAACAGCCAGGTCAAGTTCGTCGACACGAAGTGAAATCTTAAGTGCTGTGGATTCCCTAAGTCGTTATA